CCCAGTCTTTAAGAACAAGCAGCTTCTTTTTTTTTTTTTTTTTTTTTTTTTTTTTTTTTTTTTTGTGGTGGGCGGGGGCTACTCTTATTGTGTTGCGCAGGCCTCTCACTGTTGTGGCCTCTCCTGTTGCGGAGCACGGGCTCTGGACACACAGGCTCAGCAGCCACGGCTCACGGACCCAGCCGCTCCGCGGCACGCGGGATCCTCCCGGACAGGGGCACGAACCCGTGTCCCCTGCATCAGTGGGCGGACTCTCAACCACTGGGCCACCAAGGAAGCCCAAGAACAAGCAGCTTCTTGATTGCCCTCTTATAGGGCTCAGCTCGAACTTTAGTGGGGTGAGGACAGTCAACCAGAGGAAGTTCCATGGGAGACAGGGGTCTGTGATTTAGACTGAAGCTTAACAAGAGGAGCTGATAAAGCATCAGTTCCATAGTCCTCCCTCCTTGGCTTGAGCCAGTGAGGAATTCTTGTTTCGTGTATCACAAAACTAGCTCTGCAGATTGGCCCATGACTGGGTCAGAAGCAGATATCTCTGGTGTGGACTCCAGATTCAGACTGCTTGGGTTCCAACGCTCCATCACTTACATGCTGAGAGACAATGGCCAAGTTACTTAACCCGTCAGTTGCTCAGTTTCTACATCTATAAAATGGGCCTCTGAACAATACCTTTCTCTTAGCATGGTTGTAAAGGTTAGATGAGATGATGCATATGAAATTGCTTAGCACATGTTCTGGAACATATTAAGTATTCAATAAATGGTAGCTGTTAGCAGCAGCAGCAGTAGCTGTACTTGCAAAACAGCCGATGAGGGAAAGTGAGCTATAGGGATCGGAGTTTTACTCACTGCCCTGTAACTGGCATGTTGCTTGGAAAACTCCAAGATGCTCCAGTGGTCTTGTCTGCCTTCCAAGAAAATCAAACAACAGGTGCCGGGCTGTCTTAACTTATTCCAGCCCTAAGACAGTCTGGTTTGGTTAAGACCTCCTGGAGCAGGTTTAACATCGACCGGAGCCAGCATTTACACGAAAGCTTCCACCTCAAATGACTGCCTGCCCCACCTGAGTCCCTCTTCCGTGCATATGCCATGCAATCAATGAGTACTAACTGCATGTGCCGATCCCCCGGGGGAGCTGTAACGGCGCAGCTTACTGCTGCCCATCAGAGGGGAAAGTGATGGCTCCGGAGACATGCTGACTGCTTGCTTCCCTGGCCTTGGGGAGGACTGACCCCTGAGCTGCAAGGTGACACATCTGGAGGCACTCTGGCTGGCGGCACACTCAGGATCATCACCTCCACTCACATCCTAGAAACCCAGGAGCCAGGGTGGGCAGGGGAACGGCGAACAGCTAAGCTTTCACTCTGTTTCTGGTGAGGAAGGGCGTGGACGGAGCCTGGGAGAAGAGGATAGGTCACTTCTCGGGTGATCAGAGCTGGGCGCGCATGCCCAGTGGCATGTCTGGTCCTAACCTTGGATTCTGAGATGTCTCTATGTGGGAAATTTCAGTTCTCTGCAGCTTAGGAGGGAGTCTCTAAACACACTTCTTGCCCTACTGGGCACCTGACTCGTGTCCCAGTAGCCTGCTCTAAGGAAGGAAACTGACAGGCTCCCTTGCATCCCCCCCGAAGATCATAAGGGTTGTTACTAATAACAAATGTGTGTTTATACAATGAAAGTCTGCAGGAACTGAACCTGTTTAGGATTAATTACAGGGAGACATACTAGCTATTTTCAAACACTTGAAGAATATGAGAAGAGCCTTTTCTGAGTTTCCCAGAAGCCATTACTGAGGTTTAGTATAAGAAAGAGCTTCCTAACCTTCTAACTACACTGAGACAACTTATCACAGAAACTTAACAGCAAAAGAGCAGTAGGATTTGTCCCAGGGTGCCTGGGACAGGTTTCCATACCAGCTGGGTGAGAGGCTGTCCTGGAAGCCCTGAAGATTTTGGAAGTCCAACTAAAGGAGGTGACTCTTGTGAGGCTGACACCAAGAGGATAGGGGTTTGGGGGTCCTTCCCAGGACTGCTGAAGCTTGTCCATGGAGACCCATTTGCTGCAGCCTCTGAGAAACTCTGAAGACTGAGACATTCTCCTATCAGCATTGGCCACCTGCCCGAATAAACAGGGCAAGAGAATGACCCAGGAGGGCTGGGTACAGAACAGGCTGGGCAAGTGTGGTGGAATAGCTGAAAAGTTTAGAGAAACAGGGAAAGGGGAGACGGGCAGCCAGGACAACCAGCTACAATGCACCAGCTTTACTCCTGGTAGCATCATGACAAGTGCCAGAAAGGAAACATCCAAGATCATTTTGGGTGGCAGAGACAGCTTGGCTTTGTGATGCACCCATAACTTGAGAGATGGAGAGAGAAGAAAAAAACACAAACCTCTTGCAAAAAGTCTTCGAGTCAAAGGACAGGAAATTTCCCAGACTAGCAGGGTATTCTAATCAGAGCCTTCTTATCGGAGTGTCTCCAGTCTAACAAGGAGAAATCCAATCTACCGCGGGCTGAACGCTAAATTAGATCTAATCAGGACCTGCTTTCTAACTGCTCAACAGCGGGTCAAAGCCCAGTGACGGCTACAGTTGCTGTTTCTTTCTGGAAAGTGAGGTGGCCTGAGTTGTGTCAACTCTCGGTCTCGAGAGAAGGGGGGATGCTTTGTCTTTACTCCCAGCTACTCCACTCCCTCTGCTCAAAATGGCGATATTCAACCAGGGTTGCCTTCCCGGTCCATGCAAAGTCCTGTTAACTCCAGTCATCATCTCACGACTGCTGTCGGCTTGGAGCTGGGATACATTTCCTTTTTAATTTTTATTTGATTTATTTATGTATTATTTGCGGTACGCGGGCCTCTCACTGTTGTGGCCTCTCCTGTTGTGGACCACAGGCTCCGGACGCGCAGGCTCAGCGGCCATGGCTCACAGGCCCAGCCGCTCCGCGGCATGTGGGATCTTCCCGGACCAGGGCACGAACCCGCGTCCCCCACATCGGCAGGTGGACTCTCAAAACATGCATTTATGGAATCTTTGCTACATGCCCTGCACTGTGCTAGGCACTTTGATGCATGCTACGTTTCTCCTTAATGCATGCAAGGGCATAGAGCTTTCTGCGGTCAAAACACAGACTGTAAAAGGATATTCACTCCAGCCCAGTGAAACACACCACCTCCAAATCTAACTCTAGGCCATGCTATTGTTACTCTTCTTGGAAGGGATTAATAGCTGCAGTTAACTGGCCTTATAGTGGCAGTTATAACTTACAGTTTCTTTGCTACAAGCAAAGAATACCATCTGTGAACCCCCCAGCTCCCTGCAGAGCCCTGGCATGTCATTCTAACAAAGAGCCACAAAGGCCCACCAAGGGCTGCAACCTTTGAACACTAGTAGGTAGGTACACAGAGACACAGAGAGTGAGATAGACATGGAGACAGAGGTGTGAAGGGCTGAATCGGTGGGACGCAGAGAAAAAGAACAGAATTTTCTTTCTCTTGCTTTCGGCTTCATTGAAACAAACCTGACTATTGCTGTGATGGATGTGCTGCCTGGAAACTAGCTGGGCGTCTCATCTGGACATGATTCACATTCTTATATTGTCTTAGGAGACTCTGTCCAGGGCTGAGTCTTAACAGGACATGGGAAGGGTAGGGAGTAAATGTGAGAAGAAAAGGCTAAAGGAAAAGTCTCACTTCCTTTTTCTTTGGATGTCACCATGTGAGATGCGTTGCCAACCTTCCTCTATTCACCATTGCTCCTGGCCGCCCACCCATCCAGAGCCACAACTTGACTACATTGTGTGCAGGCTCATAGTGGAGCTTCACTTAACTGCCCACGGGAGCAGCGAGGCCCCAGGCCCCTTCCTTCCTGCCTGTGACTTGGAGGTGATTTTACAATGGCACACATACAAATGTGCATGCACACGCACACACATTCATCTGTACTCAGATGCACGCCTCTGGGAACATACATCTTGTGCTATTCAGAGGTCTGGGAGGCTTCTGAGCCACAGGACCACATAGGCTCTACTCCAGCTTCCACACCTATTTTGCTGTGTGACTGAGGGCAAGTCATTTACCTCTCTGAAACTTGGTATCTTCCATTGCTCACAGGATACTCAAGATCAATTCCTAACAGCAATAGGAATCGTGACGGTCCCCGAGCAGACGTGGAGATGCATGCGCGCACGCGTACACACACACACACACACACACACTCACACACTCCCCACACCCATAGTACATGCGTGTAGATACTACGGCTACCTGATCACAAACCAGAGATAATCCTCCCCCAATCATAAAATCTTAAAATACAGGATGAGCTCAATTCCTTTCCTGGCCTCTCCACAGCAGAGTTCATTTACCTTCTTCAAACATTTAAGCTCAAATGACCACAATGAAATAAATGCAAATAAATAATCCCAGAGCTTAAAATTTGAGGCAACAAATCTTCCTTTAAATTAAATAAATGCTTCCCATCTCAGCCATATCTTACCCAGATGGAGTCACACGGATGACTGATCCTGCTCCTCTCTAATTATTTCACTGCCCCACCCCTACCCGTCTTCAAGGTCTCACGTCTAGCGGCAGCTCTGTTTCAGCTTTCGTATTGGAATACGGTGTATGAATATTTTAGTTCCCTAAGTTCCGAGCACACCCCTGCCCCATGCTTCCCTTTGTAAGATTCATTCACCTCTGGCTTAATTTCTAGCCCCCCAAGCCTGAGGTTAGTGATTCATACCTGGGTCAGGCTCCCGAGGTGTATCATCTATAGCTCATTTACATTGACCTTAGCCTTCCTCTGCCAACTCCCTGGCTCTCCTTCCGCCAAGAAGAGGTGATGGAGGTACGGGGTGGACAGCTCAAAAAAAAAAAAATCTTTTTTTCCTTTTAATGAGCATAAAGTCAAAAGAAGAACTCTATAGAGCACGGCTCAAAGTTTGAAGGAAAGAGCCTGCAAATAGTTCCAGAGACACGATTAGTGACAAAGCTCCTACTCACAGCAGCTGTAGGGACACCAGCCCGTCAAACAATCCCTTGGCAATCTCGGTGATCTTGTTCCCATAGAGCACCCTGGAAAAGAGCAGAGAGGACAGTGGTCACCGCGGATGAGAGGCCACTGGAACTCCTTCGAGTAGGAGGCCACCAGCTTGGCCCACTCTGGGGGGCATGTCAGAGCACTGGCCTCCCCAGCCTGCCTCATCTTTGCCTCCCCAGTGAGACAGTGGGCCAGTGCCACTGGGGGCTGCAGGGGCAGGCTGTCCGGGAGGCGAGGAGAAACGGGCTCCATCCTGTTCCACCCCTGGGCAGCCCAGCTCAGTAAATCATCCACGGCAGGAAGACGCCATCCCTTTGTGGTGTCTCCCAGAGCTGCTAACATGACTCGCACCCCAGCGATAAATAAGATGTGTGGGAAGCTGGCCGGCCCTGTGTTTTCTTGTCTTCAATGGGTATTGATCAGGCTGAGCCCAGCCTATATAGAACGTTTCCTTTTAATATCCTGTTGCATCCTAGGAATTCCTGAACTGAGTCCTTTAATCATCCATCTAGACAGGGCTTTGGGTATCTGGGGTCCTATCCAGATGGCTCAGGGACTGCTCTTAGTCAAGGACTGGCTCTTAGGAAAAACCAGGGAGCAAGGAATTGTTATCGCGGTACCAGCAGCTTCTGCACTGCAGCCGTTTTTCCTATCCCCTGAGCTCCAAGAACTAAGGAACTCAGAATTCTTTTACCCTTCTCTCTTCCAGCCTACAGAGTCCCTCACACTGGGTGTCCTATTCAAGGGCTGGTCTCTGGTGATCCTGAGGCTTGGGGAAGAAATGTACTGGGCCTGCCTCCCCCTAAGACACTGCTGGCCTCTCTTTGCTCTTATCCATGGCACAGACGTTGCTATCTCTTGGGTCCAGCCTCCTCCGAGATGGAGGGAACTTAGCTAAGAAGAATTAAAACAAAAAAATTCCCTCTCGAGCTCTGGAGTGCCTTGAATGAACGCAGGATTCGATCCCCACTCGGATTGCAAATCCAGGCTGTGATGTGTCATTGAGGAGGCCAAATATTAGGATGAGGAAACGGTCAACGGGAGCGATAAACCCAACTCCCCATTTTCCAGACGCCACCAGGAGTGAAGAGTGAGCGTCCCGCTCAGCCTGCGGGTGTGTTTCATGAATGTTTCAACAAACTAACGGCTAAATAAAAGTCAGCACAATGGCTCAGGCTTGCATTTGTAATTCATATTATTAACGTCCCACTGCTCACTGTGCCAAATGCAGTCGTGTGTCACTGTCTGTTCGCTGCGGTTAGAACCTGCAGTGTAGCAGAAGCCGGAGGGACAACGGGGCTGCTGGGGGGGAGGGGTTCCTCAAATCATGTGTCCGTATGGGGCGTCTCTAAGCCTCAGTGGGTCAAAACCACTCTCCGGCAGGCTGACGTGGGCTGTGGGTCCACCTCGGGGCACCTGGGTGTAGACCTGTCTGGCTTCATCCCCAGATCGCTCCTTGACTTTCCTTCCCACCTTTCAGATCTGGGCTCAAACACCTCGTCCTTGGGAAGCGTCTCTTGAATATCTTAGTCAACATTTTCTACCACCTGTCACTCTATTTTTATTTCTTCATCCCTTTTCATTATGTCATGTTATATTACTTATACATTTATTTATTTTAAACATGTGCACCGGCCCGCTTGAGGATAGGTTCTGTGTGTGGTGACATCATGTGGCTTGCTCATGGCTGGGTCCCTAGAGTCAAAATCTCAATAGGATCTAACACAACAATTATCTGTTGAAAGAATGAACAGCTCTGGGCTTTCCTGGTGGCACAGTGGTTAAGAACCCGCCTGCCACTGCAGGGGACACGGGTTCGAGCCCTGGTCTGGGAAGATCCCACATGCCGCGGAGCAACTAAGCCTGTGCGCCACAACTACTGAGCCTGTGCTCTAGAGCCCGCGAGCCACAACTACTGAGCCTATGTGACACAACTACTGAAGCCCGTGCGCCTAGAGCCCGTGCTCCGCAACAAGGGAGGCCACCGCAATGAGAAGCCCACGCACCGCAACAGAGAGTAGCCCCCGCTCGCCGCAACTAGAGAAAGCCCACGTGCAGCAGCGAAGACCCAGCGCAGCCAAAAATAAATAAATTACAAAAAAAAGAATGAACAGGTCTGGGGTAAAGGCTTTCCTGCCCTTTACATTGGCCATTCCTGACTTTGGATTGGGTGTGTTGGTATTCAAAGCTCCATGAGGTCAAGGGTCTTGTCTGTCCAGTTCACTGCCACATTCTCAGTGCCTGTAAGGCTACTCAATACACAGTAGGCATCTACTGAATGGCTAAATGCATGCATTGGGGGTGAGAGGCACTTCACTTAAACAATGCCCTGATATATTTCAGAATTGGCTAGTGGCATGTCAATTTCCTGTCTGGCAACCCGATTTTGAATTTCTTTTCCTGCAAGACAGGAAGCGTCTCACTGTCCTCAGGCTGTTCCCAGATCCCAGCAGAGGGACAGCAGACAAGGGGAACAGAAGGGTGGGGACAGGGATAGGATCGCGATGGCAGATGGCCACTCTCCCTTCTCCTCTGTGATCTTCAGCCCAATAAGCAGACACTAATCTCACACACAATCCTGTCTTTGATATCCCAGCCAGATGTTCTACCCCATAAATGAAACTACTTTACTCCGCCAGCAGCAGGCAACAACTGAATCAAGAGACTTCCCTGTCTTCAGCCCCTTCCCAGTGGGATAGGGCCAGGTGGAGGAAGAATGTGTGTCTTGTTACCTGCCCACTTATCCATTAAACAAACCGGTTGCACAGAGAGACAAAGCATGGACAGCTTGCCTCTGAGCATCCTCACTCTTGCCCGGGTGGGCAGGTCACCAAATAATACAAAAAATATCAACTGATACCTTTGCTGTATCTTATACTTTTTATGTTATCTCAGGAGGGCAGCATATCATGGGGACCAAGAGCACGGTTCTGGAGTCAGACTGCTTGGGTCTAAATCCTGCCTCTCTCGCTTGTTACCGTGGACTTTGGATAAGTTACATTTATTTATTCAACACATTTTTTTTGGCACGATAACTACGTGCCAGGTACTGTTTGAGGTGCCAGAGATTCAGCCAGGATCAAAAGAAATAAAAACCTCTGTCTGTGTGGAGCTTAGATCACCCAATTTCTCCAACCATTAGAGACAGAAGAGGATAGATCCTATATTTTACGTCATGGTGAGGGTGAAACTTGCAAGCCTCCTCCAGGTACACAGTAGGTGCTCAATAAGTACTGCCAATGATTGTTGTGACTGTAATCATGAACGTGTGTCAGGCAGGAAAGGTATCATCGTCCCCATTTTGCCTGTGAGGGAAGGCGCACAGAAGACTCAAGTGACAGTCCCTGTGCCACAGGGCGAGTCCCTGGTAGAAATCAGGACAAAGCTCTGTACTTCCCTGCCCCTGAGGGTCTCTGAGCCCCTGGTGGGCATAGCTTTGGTTCCATCCACTAGGCTGCTTTAGGGTTTAAAAACCAAAGAAAAGAAAGGCTTATAGGATGGGGTTAATGCTTTCTCAGGACAATAGCCATGAGGTTGGTCTGGAGAAAAAGGCTTCAAGTCAGAGGAAGAAAATGAGCTCCTTCCTTGACAAGGTCACATGCACGGGTGAAATGGGCACATGGTAATAATCATACATTACGACTCTCTCCCTCCACCTCCCTGGACAGCACTGCCTATAGGCATGTGGGATGGGAGTGCGGTTAGAGGAGAAGATACGTTTGAGTTAGAAGCCAATAACCAGGAAGGCTGCTGGGCACTTAATCAATGAAAAGAATGCATTTGGGCTTGTAGAAGTATTCCCCAAGATCAATTTCCCCTGAAGCAATATTTGTTTCTTTTACCAGGTTGACACAAGTGTGTAAGGGAACATAAAACCTTGATAAACGCCCCCTGAAAACTATGGACGCCCCCCTCGCCCATGCTCCCACCCACACCCTACGCGCTTTGCTCCCCACTTACAGAGATGTGAGCGATTTCAGACCCTGGAAGGCATCTGGAGCGATGTCCGAGATCTGATTCTTGCTGATGTCTCTGAAAAATTAACCAGAGACTCTGAGAACACAGCTCAAGGTGTGCTATGGCCGTTCCTAACGTGTGGACCAAGCATTTCAGGTATGCAAAAGGGTGAGCATGAATTCATCACTTGATCGATTTATTTATTCATAGTGTGCGAGCAGGGGCTTAAGGATCATTCAGTTCAACTGCTGCATGATAAAATGCACTGTATTTGTATCACTCTTCTTGGCTTCCAAAGAATGCTCACTCGTGGCACCTCGACTTTGACATAGGGCCATGCACACGTGAGCCTTCACTTTGCAGGTGGGGAATGGAAGCCAGTGAGAATAGGGTCTCATCGTAGGTCTCACAACCAAGCAATTATAGCATAAACAAAGCAAAAGCTGGCCTTGCCCAAACATAGCCCAAGGTTCCTGTAAGCCTCACTTTCTTGCCTCATGCCTTGGCAAATGCTTATTTTTCTCCCCAGAAGTCCTGAGTCATTTCACCTCCCCAGTGACTTTTCCTTCCTGACCTGAATGGAGGTTTTGAGCAGTGACTTAAGTCTCTGTCTGGTTCAGTGCATCTTCCAGGCCGGGTGATGTAAAGACATCATGAGATTCTCATGGGATGGCCTTGAGATGTGGGCTTGTCGCTGGCAGTCCTCGTGAGACGGGAGTGAGCCCAGGGCGATGATGATCAGGGCTTTGGGATAACGTGAGCGAGAAGGATGCCGTGTGTTAGAAGGCAGCTAACCCAGCCTCGTTGGCGCAGAGGAATCTCCCTGACCCAGAGGCTGCTCACTCTGCAGCACCCCAGGGTCTTCTGAGCACCTGGCTCGCTAACAACACTTTCCTGAGGAGGGAGACTTCTCTTTAGGAGTTATTAGCTCAGGGACAGCCTCGGGGCTCCTGTCCCCGGAAGGGGAGATGCTCCAATTTCCAGCTACAATGAACCTCTCTGGTTCATTTCCTTTTACCAAAATAAATCAACGGGTCTTTGCTTTTGTGGAGAAGAGGGAGAGCTGGGGTCTTGGAGGATCGACAAGGAGGAGGGAAGGGGATACTGAGAAGCAAGAACATCTAAGCAGATTCCTTAGCAATTGCCTCCAGCGAGGCCAGACGCCCCAGCCCCACAGCCTCTTAAGCTCAGTCCTGCTGCCTGTTTCTCTCCTCCTTCTACTATCCTTCAAAAGGGCCGCCCAACAACCTTTGCCTAGTCCTCTGCTCCCTTCCCTCCCTGTTTCCAAGACCTGTGAGTTGAAAGATACTCCACAGGTTAAGGATTCTTAGGCACAGCTGTTGAGCTGATCCCTTTAGCAGGTGAGATCGCCTCTAACAAATCCACAGATTGTGCTCGCAAACTAGTCAGCTTACACTGGCCTTTTCTTCAGAGCTCTGCTTTTGTATAAGGGTCTTAACAAGCAAATGCTCCGGATTATCCTAATCTTGCTTGCCCTCAGCCTGGCTGCCTAGCAAGGCATTTGAGGCAAGCGTGCAGGGTCGGTGCTCGGATCAGACTAGTGAGAAAGCCTAATTTTTAAATTTTTAAAAATTTTATTTTTTCCTGACATTTTTAATGCGATGTCCCTTCAAGGTCCTTGGCCCTCTACCGTGTCAGGGGAGGTTCTGTGACCAGTGGGGAAGCCCTCTGCTTTAGCCTTGTCAGGGCAAATTCATTTCTAGTTCAGAGCTATACTTCTGTATGCACCCGTCTCTAAGGACAAGGTGAGAAGTCTCGTGATTTGGAGACGCTGGGGAGTGGAAACTGGAGAAGTGATAGTTTAGCTGGGAACTGACCCTGGTGGGCACTTCATCTCAGTTCTTCATTCTGCAGGAAGGGAACAGCAGCCACAGGTAAAGGACCTGTAGCCACAAGTGACTGGACACAGCGATTTGGGTACAGAGCTGGCATCTCCAGTCTCCCTTCCATTTCACCGTGATGGGTGCAGAAGGTGGTGGCCCTGGACAGGAAGGTAGACTGGGGAAGGCTTCAGTGCCCACCCATCTCCACGCTCAGGTGGTCCCAGAGCTGACTCCTGGTGTTTGGGTCGCCCTCGATGACCAGTGGTTCTCAAACCTCACTAGGGTGTTTATTAAAATGCACCCACAGAGGGTCTGATTTGGCCCTCTGGAGAACTGGGGTTAGAAATCTGCATACGTAACAAATCTCCAGATGACTCCCAGGCAGGTGGTTTCTGAGTCATACTTTAGACCAGTATTTCAGAATCTGGTCGGTCTCAAAGCTACCCCAGTCCCCTGGGGCTTGATAAACTGGATGGTAGAGAAGTGGCCTTTGCATACAGTTCAGAAGAGAGGTGGTGAATTCCAGTGCCGACGAGGGTCAAGCGGGGATTATAAGCGTGAGACACTAGGAACTGGTGGAACTTGTGGAATATTGCTCTACCTTAGAACGTGGGAGGGAAAGAACTCAACACCTTTGAAGGTTTGGCCTTCAAGTGTCAGTGCTCTCGGTTAACCAGCCTTGTAAGACTGGGGCATCCTCTCTAACGTCTGCTACTCTCCCTGCAGATGGCATCTCTATCTTGGTACTAGTTTTCACCTGGAAGTACCTTTTTTTTCTTTTTGTCATTGGAGATAAGAAGAGGATCCGGTTCACTCATAGCTGAGGGAAAACTCTTTTCTGTGAGATATTAGAGATAAACTGGTCACGTATACCTAGGAGGAGTTCACCCTTAGGGTTTTAAATTCTGTTTTCACCAGGGACCCTACATCTCCAAAGCCCTTGCACTTTGAAGTTCTGTTAGTCAGAAAAAATTTTAAATGGTCTCTCTTCCCTACCGCCATCCCCTTGCGGGGGCGGGAAAGGACATCACAGTAAATATCAATAGCATCAGAAGTGATCAAAAATGAAATTTACTTCCCAGGTCATGACGGAGATCTTATGAATTCTGAATGCACAGATCACGGCAACTCCAATGGGATGGAGAAAGGACGGTAAAACATAGTCACACTCTAAATTACCTGGACTTCACAAAAAATTAGAGCAGTCACTTAAGTCACGTAAGAGATATAGGTTGGGGCAGTGACTGAACTTGTCATTTTTCACTGAAATTACTATCTGGCTGCATAATCAAGCTGGGCTTTAAAAATGAATTTGGGGGGGCGGGCATGTGGAGAGTGAGCTGGAGAAGCAGGGAGACCAGGAGATTAATGGCCCAAGGTTTAAATATTAAGGCCTATATTTATACAGCCCCTCCAGCAGGACTGCTGCCAAAGGGAGGGAAGGAGTATGTGCTTGGAGCTGGCGCATTATGTTGGTTTCTACTTCTGGAACTGTACCAGGAGAAAATCTTGTTTGGATTGGATTTCCAGGGAGATGGGAAGTTGGCTTCCTAAGATCTGAGGGTAAAGCGTACCAATGCCACTGTTTCGCAGGGATGTTTATTTTTAACATAAAAGGAGCAAGCAGACACTTAACCTCTTTAATGCAGGCCCTCCTACTCAAGGGAAACCCATGAATCAGCCTGCGGTGGAAGGGAACAAAACCCAAGTCCATGCATATTTCTACCTGCCCTCTCTCTTTTCTCTGTGTCGGGGGCCAGAGGGAGTAGGCAAGTGCAATGAAAGCAGCATCGTGATTACTGGGCTATAATAAATGATTTCTTAGCCTGGAAAAGGGACAGGAGCCTCCCTCCTAGGCTCTTAATATCTGTGATGGCACTGGCTGGGTCGTTTCTGAATCCTACTAGCCTCCCTTCAGAGCACCCCACCCTGAGTGACTCACAGAGCAGTGCTCAGGGTGGTCACGTGGTGGGGAGGGGTGGTGCTGATGATGTTACCACGATGGCAGGGATGAGGGCCATGAGGCTCAGATGCTGTCAATGGAGTAGGGAAGGTACACTGCAGTGTTGGTGTCAGCAGGTACTGATAGGCTGCAGTGATGGCGTGGTATTGGATATGGTGGTAATGGCCATGCTGGGGATCATCATACGGGCAAGGGAGGTTCCAAGGCTTCTTATCTCACTTAGAAAGATTAGAAAGTCCTTACCATGGTCTAAAGAGCCCATGGGAGCTGGCCCTTATCTACGTCTCCAGCACAATCCCCACCACTTTCTCTTCATTGACTCTGTTCCTCCTCTCTATTCTGCAAACCATCCATGCATATGCTCCTGAGAACTCCTCTAGACTCACTCCCTTCCTTCATTCAGGTCGCTTGCACACGGAGGCCTTCATGGGTCAACCCATCTAGAGACCACCCCTCCATCAATCTCTAGCCCCTCCCCTTCTTTTGTTTTACTTTCTGGTACTGGTCAGTTTCTGACATTTACTTGGTTTTATTTCTGTGCCCTCCCACTCAAATACGCAAGCTCCATCAGAGGAGACTTCGTTTTAGTTCACCTTCTACCCACAGATCCCAGCACAGTTCTTTGTTCCTGGTGGACTTTGGCTAAGAATTTGTTAGATGAATGCGTGTATGGTGGTAGGGATGTTGGTGACGGTGCTGTAGGATGATATAGGGAAACGGCCACATCTCTACTGAAACTCCTACTTGAGGTCCACATCCCCCAAACCAGGGGACAATCAAATGGTGAGATGGGATTGTTTTAGGCTGACACAGCCCCACCTCCCACCCAGATAATTTTACTTCACTCTAGTTGGAGTCGCCCTTAGATCTGAGGTGCCTAAACCCATACACTGCCCCATCTGAGTGCAGCACTCTGGTCTTACCTCCCCGTCTTGGGAGCCATTCCAGGTCTGACACTGCACTCTCCTGAGGATTGTGATGCAGCCTCTCATCTGGGCAGGCTGCCCACTACACATAGTACCCCCCGAACTGAAAACATTTGGGTCCATTTCTCTCCAGGGGAGACTCACATTCGCTTCAGTTTCTTGTACTGGGTGAAGGCTCCAGCAGGGATGGATTTGATGGAGTTCTGTTCCAGGCGTCTGAGAAACAGAGCAGAAAAGAGTCGATTAACCATCCACCCATCAACAAATGGTTGCCGGGGGCCTTGAGGACAGGATGGTCTCTCCCATCACGTGGCATACATTCTTAGATGAGGGAGACTTGGTAAACACCGTCTGAAAGCCAGAGACTGGTGTTCTGGTGTGTGGGGCAGCCAGTTCAGGGTCTGATACCCCTGGGAGAAAGCTAGAAAAGATGACTCCTCCTTGAGGATATTTGGTTCTCGCTTATGATAAGTTGTCTTTGGGAGGCAGCTGTCATCTTCAGAAAATGCTGTAGGAAGTAATCAGAATGCTGAAAAAGTCTAAGGGATAAAGAGAAGGAAGAGTAAAGACAGATGGACAGATAGCAATGCCTATCTGTTCTGGAAGCATGTCACCATTCAGTGAAAACCTCCACCATCCTGCTGCTGGGGTGCAGTACAGGCAGAGACTGCATTTCTGGGCTTTACTTTTTTTTAATGGAGGTATAACTGACATATAACTTTAGTTTCAGGTGTACAACCTAACGATTCAGTATTTGTTTCTGGGTTTTTCAATCGGCTCTTCTAATATGATGAAGAAATAGCCTTCAAGTCTCTAGGCTCCCAGCCTGACATTCATCAGACTGGCTCCCTGATATCCTGAGGGCCCCAGGGGCCCCGAATGGATCACTCCCCTGGGCTGCTGCTACAGTCTGTAGCTTTATGGCCTTACAGACTTTGCTGAATTGCTCTCTCTCTCCTATTACTCTGGAAAGAACAAGAGATGCTGCAGGCCCAGGGCCCAGAGCTCCCTTGGAAGAGAAGGAGCATGGGGAGTGAGCAAGCCTTTTCATTCTTCATTCTTTCATCTATCAAATGACTTCCCGTCACCAAGAACAGGTGTGGTGGGAAACAGGCATGAGTGGAAGGCGGGGCCCTCTATTAGAGGTGATGAATGGTGGCCTGGTCCACATCTCCCGTCTCTCTGAGGTGTGGATCTTTTCATCACCTCCTCATTTGGCATGGACGATCCCCAAACCCTCTTCTGGGAAGACACAAAAAAGTGTGTGTGTGTGTATGGTGTGTGTGTGTGTGTGTGTGTGTGTGTGTGTGTGGTGTGCGTGTGTGTATGGTGTGTGTATGGTGCATGCGTGTGTGTGTGTATGGTGTGTGTGTGTGTGTATGGTGTGTGCGTGTGTGTATGGTGCATGCGTGTGTGTGTGTGTGTATGGTGTGTGCGTGTGTGTGTGTGTGTGTGTGTGTGTGTGTGTGTGCAAGGGGGGGGCTGGGGGGAGCAGAAGGCAGACATGGGAGGATCTGGCTCCCTTGGAGGCTCCGTCTAGAGGACGCACACTTCTGGCTGGGATGAACCCATTCATCTTAAAGAGTAATCCCTGCTGCGGAAGAGGGGAGACAGTTGTATTAATTTGTGCCTCTGCAATCTCATCTTCATTGGGGGAAAGAGAATATTTGTTACTGGAACCACTAATGGAGCAGTTTGCCAGCAATTTTCCCATTTCAAACAACATCTCAGCTGCTAATGTGGAATGGTTTGTCAGGCCTACCCATAACACAGACAAATCACTCTCCAGGCCGAAGGAAGGGGGTGGGGGGGCGGGTGGAGAAAGAGGAAGGTGGGTGAGAGGAGAGAGGGAGCATCAGGACAGATCATTCTTGGCTGCCAGATGAATCGAGTCTACAAATGAGGCTGCCACGGTCTAGTAAGAGAGTCTCTTTGGGGCTGGAGGGGCCAGGGAGTGTGCTCTGTCGAGCACGTGGGCATAGGCTGGCTGGACAGCGGCCTGGTTGGCCCGCGGTGAGCCAAAAAAGCATGCCACAAGGTCGCAGAGGCTGCGGGCTCCTGGATATAGCCACCCACAGAGGCAGCAGACCCGGGCAGGCTGCCTTGACTGAGAAGTTCCAAGGACATTCTCATTTTCCAGCTGAGCAGAGTTCAGGGATTTCTCAGCCAAGGCAGCAGCTCTGTGAACCTCTGGGGCTGCCAGTCGGGTGGCAAATGCTCTCCAGGAATCCTGGGGTTCACCTTCCATTTTGGCAGGGGGATTGCGGCTGGAGGATGCCTCTGGAGAGAACAACTGTCTGTAACGATGGCAATCCCCTCAGTTTCTGCAAGAGGATCCACTGCTCCCAGCTGCAGGCCAAGAGCCCAGGCGAGTCAGGTCAGCTAGCTGACCGTGCAGTTCATAATGAATAACGTCCACTTTAGTAATGGGTGCAAGAGCTAAGGGAAGGATGAAACAGTGAGTAGGATGTGATACCTATCCCCAAGGAGTTTAATAATAACCTGGCGATAGAGACCAGCCCTAGACGGTCCATCGCAGAACCAGAATTTATTGCTAACATAACAAGAAGAGTTGTCCTTTATGGAATCGAGTTGGTTTAGGTCTATTATCTCTGTGAATCCTTACACTTCTGAGGCAAGCTGTGTTGGCCCTAGTTTGTGGACGAGGAAAATAAAACCTACATGGATCAAAGAGCCTATCCGAAGTGCCAGAGCTAATAAGTGGCAGAACTGGCATCTTTCTCTTTCCGTCCGTTGGATGCACTGCCTCCTCTATTTTTTGAAAACAGAGAAAGTGAAGTCCATATACTAAAACAGCTTTCCCAAAGTCCCAGAAAAGTTTAAGGGGTGAAGACCCCAGTACTCATTCTGAGACATCATGCAGTCTCTGCAGAAGTAGGTATGTTGTAAAAAGGCTGTAGGAGTTGAGGGAAGATGGCATATAGATGCATGTGTGTGTATACACACACACACACACACACACACACACACACACACACATAACAATATATGTATAAAATATGCAAATAGAGTGCAAAGGTGTGGCTTTGAACAAAGAACAAAGAATTCCCATCTTAGCCTGTTAACCCTGGCAGGGACGTTGCTGTGTATCCTGTACGCTCTACCCTTGCACACTCCGGGGATGGTCTTTATTTCTGCAGTCTCTCTGCCTCTTATGCTGCTGTGGGTACCCGCTGGACGTGCAACCCCTTACAGGGTGCCAAGGCCAGGACATGATGTGGATTAGCCTTGCCCCAGGGGGCATTAGAGCTTGTCAGTGTACTTCAGATGTAAAGTTAAGGCAAGGGTGAGGATAATAACAGTAAGAGCTACTATGTATCAGCTTGGATTTGTAAGTCAGGCATCAGACTAAGAGCTTTGCACCGTACATCTAACTTAGTATTGACACCTCTCTGAGGCAGACCCTGTTTGTTATCACTACTCCCACTTTAAACATGAGAACACCGAGGCTCAGAGATGTTAAGTCACTTGTCCATGTTCACAAAGCCAGGAAGAGCTACAGCCGGGACTCAAACTCAAGTTCATCCAATTGGAAAGCCAGCACTCTCAGTCACTGAGCTTGGCTGAATACCGTTTGCTGCTGAGGCACATCTATTCCTTTAGTCATTGCCCACGTATCCTCAGAAAAACTGCCCCTCGATCAAGGAAGGAAGTCTGGGGTGTGTGTGCACACGCACGTGTGTGGGCACACACACAGGCTCTACACAGCAGCAGCCTCTGGTGGGTTTTACACGGCTTGGAACAAGCATGCAAAGATCCATACTCCCAGTGACAAAAATTCAGTGTGAAGGACAAAAAACAGCTTTAGCATCAGCAAAAACTGTCACATTTAGGGATGTGTCTGAAGCCAGCGGCTGTCTTTGGTCTCTCTTAACTGGCACATGTGTCTTTCTTTGGCAAACATTCTTCAGGCTGCAAACTGATTTAATAGAACTAGCATAAAAACAAACATACAAATCAAACATCTGAGCGTCTTCCGGCACTGGCAGAAACAATGCGAACATCTGATGGGGATTTCAGCCATTTGCGTTCTGCATCGATTTGCTCTAGTTCCTCAGTGCTTCCTTAATGATCTGTCATTCGCAAACACGCGACTGAACACAATATATTTCTAGCAATACATAAGTCAACGTGATGCCAGAGGGACTGGCAGGGGCATAGCTAGTGCAGGGCCATGGCAGCAAGTCACCTGATAAAGCATTTCTGGAGCTGGATTCAAATATTGGTTGCAATAATGGTGGACATCTACCATTTATTGAGGGCTTTTTATATATCAGACACTGTGCTCTTCACACACTGGCTCATTTTATTCCTTCAACAATACTACAAAGCAAATAGTATCACTAATATAATAACAACAGAGATGAGGCATGTGGGCATATGTGACATGAGTCATTCCTAACCAGCTTTGCAGAGCACCTGGCATTGCCTACAGAAAACAGAGGTGCGGACACACAGCCAGATTTGCTCTTCTTATTATATGCATATTCTCAGATGCCTCCAACAGAGAAATCTTTGTCATCAACTTAGAAAAAAATGAGAACTTGAGACTAAAGCATTCTATCATGTCCCATATGTGACACGTGCATAAGCTTTATCCTTTTAGATTCCACTTAGGAGCTTTCAAACATAGTGCTAACTTTCTATACAATTATGTTGTATTATTTAATCTTCATGGAGAATCTCTAGTAGGGACGATGAGCCCCATTTTGCAAAGATGGGAACTAAGTGAAACATGAGATGTTAAGAAAGGTACCCAAAGAGGCAGAACTGGGATCCAAACCCAGGACTATCTATCACAAGGCTCTGTTCTTAATTATTCTGCTGCCTGATCAGCTTCACCTTTACCCCACCTGCTCCCATCCCACCCCATCCCCCCTCCTTCCACATGGCAGCCCCCAGAAACTGGGTGTCCTCAGAAGAAGATGTGGTACGTATATACAATGGAATATTACTCAGCCATAAAAAAGAACAAAATAATGCCATTTGCAGCAACGTGGCTGCAACTAGAGATTATCACACTAAGTGAAATAAGTCAGAAAGAGAAAGACAAATACCATATGATAGCACTTACATGTGGAATCTAAAATATGGCAGAAATGAACCTATCTACGGGACAGAAACAGACTCACAGACATACAGAACGGACTTGTGGTTGCCAAGGGAGAGGTGGGGGAGGGAGAGGGACGGACTGG